AAAAAACAACTTTAGGTGTGACTGAATGAAGTAACACTGATGCAGAGTGGTCTTCCTGTCACCATAAAGGTGGAATGTATAAATATCATACATTGGGACCTGCAGGCCAACATGACTCTGCTTTATTGTGATATGAGACTGCAGAATTTATTTCACAGCTGTTGCTCTGCACAGTTGACAGTTATTTGTGTAGCTTTGATTTATTTGACAGAAGTTTAACCTTCTTTTGATCTCTTTGCTGTAAGGAGCTTACTGTCAGATCAGCAGATGTGCATAGGGTGCTGATGGCATTCTGCAACATTTTCACTAGCTCCATTCTTTATAATAGACGTTTACGTTCAAAAATCAATGTAAAATATCCTTTGCACTAAGATTGATGCATTATGCACTGTAATATAAGGTGTATTGCTTCTAGCTCACTTATTAAAGAGGTAATTTAGAAATACCCTTGCATTATTATGTGCTTCTTAAAATTCATTCGTGGAACGAGGGCATTGTTGGCTGGCCTGCTTTTTCATTGCCCATCCCTAGCTGTCCTTGAGAAAGTGGCGGTGAGCTGCCATCATGAACCACTGCTGTCCGCCTACTGTGGGTTGACCCATAATGCTATTAGTGAGGAAAATCCTGGATTTTGACCCAGCGACACTGAAAGAATGGCGATGTATTTCCAAGTCAGGATGGTGAGTGGCTTGGATAGGAACTTGGTGGTAGGTGATAGTGTTCCCATCTATTTGCTGCCTTTGTTCTCCTAAATGGAAGTGTTTGTGGGTTTGGAAGGTATTGTCTGAGGATCTTTGATGAATTTTTGTAGGGCTCCCTTTTAAATCTTTTCACCTCTCACGTTAAACCTATGCCCTCCAGTTTTGGTCTTCCCCACCCTGGGAAAAAGACCTTGGCTATTCACCCTATCTATGCCCCTCATGAATTTATAAACCCCTATAAGGTTACCCCTCAGCAACCAGCACTCCAGGGTGAAAAACCTCAGCTGTTTCAGCCTCTCCCTATAGCTCAGACCCTCCAATCCTGGCAACATAGTTATAAATCCTTTCTGAACCCTTTCAAGTTTAACAACATCTTTCCTATAGCAGAGAGACCAGACTGTTTGATTTGCAGTGGCTATTCTGAAATTTCCTGGTGAAAAGAATTCAGGTTGTTTCTGCTCAGAAATATTTGCATCTCCCAGATTGAATTAAATTAATTTCCACTTGAATGAATGTTGTTGCCAGTTTATTAAGTGACGTTCTCATCACACAAGTGCCCGGCAGCGTCCATCTCTATCTAGCAATAGAGAATCTTAGCAATTGCCCCTTGACATTCAATGGTATTACCATCACTGAATCCCCAACTATCAATATCCTGGACAATACTATTAGTAACTGGACTAGCCATTTAAATAATGAACAATTTAAAAAAAAACCCTCCATCAAAGGCAGGTCTTTGTGCATTCTCTGTTCTTTTGCGGAAATGTCAGTTTAATATTACTGTGCAATTACTTGTGCCATATTGTCACCCCATGAAATTATGTATCACGTTTCTGGTAAGAATCTAGCAATAAAAATGTTTTCTCAATAAACTCTCAGTATGGATAGATCGACTAAACCTCACTCTTTGGAATTTGTTTGTGGGATCTTTGTTATCTTGAAAGATGACAGAAATGACCTGTTGGTTAGACGAATGCACAGAACACTGCAATGAGCAAGGAGGACAATCTTAGAATTGTAGAACGTCACTTCAGAAGCAGATCTTTTGTCCAGTGTGCCTTTGCCATATTTATGCAAGTGCATTACAAAACCTAACATTCTCTTTCTCCAGTCGTTCTGTCTTCCTCTGCTTCAAATTCTTATCTAAATACCTTTTAAAAGGAGGAACAGGAGATTTCACATAATTGAAGCTCTGGATGCTGCATCACAAAAGATCACGTTCTTACCCAGGCTCAGTTGAGATGTTGCAAGTAATCAAAGTTGTATTCTGTATGGATAATAATTTAATTTTCCAAAGGTCTATGAAGAATGCTGTATTAACCTGAGAAAGAGAAATTCCTTGGAAAGTTTGTGAAATTCCAGTGTTACAAAACTGCATACCCATTTCCCTCAACCCTCGTCCCAAGTGTGCAGTTTTGGCAGGAAACAAGCAGATTTTTTTCTTCATGGCCAACTCCATCTCTTTACCATCTCAGCTGATCTACTTCAGTCCAAGGGCTTAATTTTTATCAGAAATTGCCTTCAGTGAACACAACCTTGGGTTTGAACCTGCATGTTGTGTCATTCAACAATCAGAGCTGGGTTTCAGTGCAAA